ACTGACCACACGTACTAAGTCGGGTTTTCCCTTGAAAGTGCCTTGAATGGTTCCTAACGCGGTGTTACCTGATTGAGCTAAGATTAGTTCATTTTGTTACCTCGTTTATATGTTATTTCTGAATAGGTCCTATGGGATAGTTTCAGTAATTTTCAAATAGCCTATTTCATTTTCCCTAGCCCATCTATGATTTGAAAAAGCATACATTTATATGTCTATATTTATTTGTGTATATATGTTTTTATATACATATTTAAAATTTTATAATATGAGCATTTTCAGAAGGAAGGAAGGAAAGGGAAGGAAAGAAAGGATGTCGATATAAAAATCTGTCTGTCTGTCTGTCTGTCTAAAGAAAAGGTTAAAGTTAGAAATAAAGAAAAGCCAAGCCACACACTTTGTCTTGGGATGGATGTGGTTTATGAAAGATGGTACATAAGATGCCCTCAGGTTTATTTTCTTGGTACCCTGTCTATCCTTTCCAAGGCTGAGTCAGGGGAATAAGGTTGGGACTTGAGATGTCAACATAATAAAAAATAATATAATGCCCACCACAGCAGCCACTATCAATGGCTAAAACTCATTTTACTTTTAGCACCTGACCCAGATGAACTATTTCAGACCAGATCAACTTTTTATGCCCAATATTTTATAACTAAAAATTTCAAATACCCTGAAAATTTGAAATAATTAGACAGTGAACACCCATATATCCATCACCTAGATTCTTCAATTGTTATATTTTGCTCCATTTGTGCTAGGGACTGAAGGTATGTGTCCTCCCCAAATTCATATGTTGAAGTCCTAATCTCTAATGTGATAATATTTGGACGTGGGACATTTAGGAGGTAATTAGGACATGACAGTAGAGCCCTCATGCATGAGATTGGTGCCTTTACAGGAAGAGACATGAAAGAGATGTTTTCTCTCTTCACCATCTGAGGATACAGCAAGATGTTTGTCTGCAAACCAGGAGGAGGGGTCTCACTAGGAACTGAATCAACTGGCACCTTGATCTTGGACTTCTCAACTTCCAGAAATCTGAGAAATAAATTTCTATTGTCTAAGCCACCTAGTCTATGTATGGTGTTTTTGTTACAGTAGCCTGAGCTAACAGAATTTGCCCTCTCATATATCTATTCTATCTATCCATCAATACATCATAGTTGTCACCATCATTGCTCTTTACCCCTAAACATTTCAGCATGCATTTTATTAGAGTTCAATATTTTATGGTTCTTTTCTATTTTAAGGTAAGATTTACATACAGTGAAATGGACAATGCAAATATCACTCCAGAATATTCCCTCATGTTCCTGCCTAGTCCATCCTGATACCAATACCAATCCTGCAGCAATCCTTCTGCTTTTCAGTATATGTAAATGAGTTTTGCTTGTTTCAGAACTTCAAATAAATGGGATCATGCAGTAAGTACTCAATATGCTTTTGAGATTCCTCCATGTTGTTGAATGCCTCAGTTAATATCATTCATTTTTCATCACTGAATAGTATTCCACTATAAAATATATCTTAATTTGTTTATTCATTCATGAGAACAAGAGGGCTTTTTGCAATTTTTGCATATTATGAATAAAACTGCTACAGACATTCTTGTCCAGGTCTTTTTTTTTTTTTTAAACTTCTGGGTAAGAAGTGGAACTGCTGGATTTTCAGTGCATGTTTAATTGTGTAAGAAACAGCCAGGCCTTTTCCCAAAATGTTGTTCCATTTTATCCTCCCACCAAGAATGTATCCTCCACCTCCTCACCAGCACTTGGGGGAATCAGCATTTTTTAGTTTTAGCCACTCTAGGGGGTGATGTCGTGGAGTCTCATTTCTCTACAAATGCAACCACTAGCTCCTGCCTATCAGATCAAAAGCCTTCCTCCCCAAGGATGTACCTCAGAAGTTTGAGGAGGGGAGCTTACATCTCAGTGGCTTATTTCTTTGACAACCCTAAAAGAAGAGAGAAACTTTATCTATTCTTTGTCCTCCTGTCCTCTGTCTTGCTTAGAAAAAAAAATTTTAAATATCAGAACAGTCATCTGACCGGATCAAGTTGGCAAGTTCCAAATTACCTTTTGTTTCATGATACATTCTGAGGCAAAAGATTCTCACTGCCAAATCCCAGCCTTTGTCTGTTTCCAACAAGATTTAGAGCCGTCAATATTCTGGAGAAGAGAAGTTCCCAGCACTCAGGCTCAACCCCTTTTTCTTCGGGCTTCCCTAGGAATCATTCTTCACAGTATCAGAGCGGCCCTGCAGGGCAGGACTGATGATGTCCCCTCTACAGAGGAGGTCACTGCCCTGAGCTGAGAGGGTCTCAAGCATAGGATGTGTGGCCCTCACATACACATGTTCCTACCCGTGCCTCTTCCCTGGCAGGCAGCTCCCTGGGGGTGGACTCTGATGCAGGGCTCTGGGGCGACCCCTGCCCACCCTCCACCTTCACTGGGGAGATGAGTGCACTTGGCAGCCCCCTCTCCCATTCCCCCCAATCGGGCCCATTCATCTCCCAGCCTGCATCCTTCCTCCTTCTCCCTGTCTTTCTTCTAATGTTGCTCAGTTACCTCATCAAGCCCTTGTTCCCTCCTCCTTTCTCTTATCCTCTTGCCTATGGGGACTAAAACTGTATCCTAGGCTCGCCTCACGACTGCCAAAGTCCTGCTAGTGGCGTAATGAAGTGGAACATAATGAAGACCCAATGTCGTCAGCATCTCAAGCCCTTGAAAGTACCAAGAGGTCCCTTTCAGAATCTTCACAAAAGAATCTTCCACTTTCTGAACCCTTCCTAATTAAACTGGCTTTTCCTCAAGTACCAACATTCTAGGTAAACAAAAAACTTTTGTCTTCACTCGGGTTTCTGCTTTAATTAATAGCATCACAGCAACATTGTCTTTTATTCCTTTGGTTGCAAAGATACAGTATGCCCGATACACTTTAAGTTAAACTGCAGTACTAGTCTAAGAAAAATCATGTCATAAATGCCTAACTGACTTAAATTTCTGGAATAAAATCAATTCCAGAATTGGGACTTGCCTTTTTTTCCCCTATTCAATTTTAAATGTGTGTTGTAAGAATTTCCTCTTTGGCACATTTCCTTTTACATAGAAATGTATGAAGATACAAGAGCATCATCCCCAACATCACAGCTTTATATGCAGTATCCCTGCCTAGAAAGTATATATTATTATGACCCCATTTTACAGATGAGGAAACTGAGAGAAAATTTCAGTAACTCACAGCCAGTAAGTGGCAAAGACCCTGAAGTCACATCTCAGTTTGATGCCCTCCAGCTGATGCCTTCTTAGCCACCATGCTCTCCTTCTCCCCTGGCACCGCCCAGTATGCAAATTAAAGCTTCCCGCATGGGGTAGAACAGGCCATGACTGTGCGATCCACCTCCGCACCATTCTCTGCAGCCACACCATGTTCTTCCCCATAAACTGTTCAGATTTCACCAAGTCTCAGGAAGACAGGGAAAGAGACCAGCAAAAGCTTTGAAGGAAAAAGCAGTAAATCTATAGCTATTTTTAAAAAATTGTACCTAGAAAAGAGATTCTACCCATGCATTTAACAATCAGCACCTATTATGCATTTTAAATAGCTCTTACCTGCTTCTGGGCGTTGATACTGAGTATGTCTTATGCCCCTGGTCTCTTCTGTTATCCAGAGTGCTGGGCTTTCCTTACTAATGTGCTCTAATGGCTTTAACACAGACAGACTAACAAGATACTCTTGAACAGAGACATGGTGGGTAGCAGCACAAACACTAGAAAGAGTGAGAGCCCAGATCTGGTCATAGGAGCTGACCTCTTTCTACAGTTGGCTTTTCACCCAACACTGACAATTGAGTCCACAGTCCATTGCCGCTTGCAGACCATCATGTTATTATTGACCTCACCCTTATTTCAGGAAGACTCAGGTGTCTGTGGTGGACAAACTCACTTGCCCCCCAACTCTACCCACTTCTAGTTTATCTTCCTGGACCCCAAGGACTGGAAACTGAATGATATTTTCCAGACTCTCTTGCAGCTAGAATTCTAGATATAAATTAGGTTCCTCTGACTAGATGTGCTTGCATGAGACCCAGAAGTCAGAAGTAAGGCAAAAACCTTCTTCCTGCCCTTTCTCAAGCTGTTTCTGCTGACAAGTAAGATCATTCAAAAGTGAGCTAATTTTTGAGCAGCATTATTCCAAGGTTCAATCTCCAGCTTCTTGGGTATTGAGAGGCAATTTGGGCTGTTGGCCACAACAGCACTTTTATTCTGGCCTCCTGAGCCCTGGACAGCAGCTATGGGAGTATGTCTTGAGCTACTCTTTCCAGGGGCAATCTCAGAAGTGCTAGCTCCCCTAGCGAGTCCAGCCTGATTGCCGCAGATCCTCCTGCTCCACCCCTTTCTCCATCAACAACGTAACGGCTCACATTTGCTGAATGCTCACTATGTGTCAGGCACTATGCTGAATATTCTACACAAACCATTTTATTTAAACCTCAAAACAACCCATGAGGAAGTTACTACTCATATTCCTTTCTTTCAGATAAGTCTACTGAGATTCAGAAGCAAAAGGTAAATTGTATAGGATCAGAGCAAAGCTGGTGGGTGAATGAGCAGAGCTGGAATGAGATCCCAGATCTGCCTGGTTCCAAAGACTGAGCTCTGCTTCTTTAAAGGTGTTTGAGGAACTTGGACCTATTAGCAGATTTCAATTGTCCACACACATTGTGTCGCTCAGAAGACATCATTCTTTCCCCTTTAATGATAAACACATAGAGGTCAGCCTATTTTGTATCAAGATGCATCCAAATAGGGAAGAAGCCTTTGATCTAACCAGATAGAAAGGCGCTGTGAAAACCCAGAGGTATCGCTTTGTAAAAACGTATCTAAGTCACCCCAAGAATGCTTTTTTGTACAAGTTAAAGCATTAAGATGAAAGCAGAGACAGCCTTCCACCTGCCCCTGGGAGGACCAGAGCTGGGCGTACAGACTGGCACTTACCAGGCGCTCTGCTCACAGCGAGGTTTCGGAAATGGCTGCCTTTGATCACTTCCACGGATAATCGCCCCGTTGTGGCATTGTACGACAGCCCCACCAACAGCTCTGGCGCCCCTCCATGCGACAGCGACTGCGTGGATGAAGCGCTATCACTGTGAGAAACTGCAGATGGGCTGAGTGGAGACTCTCCACCCTGTGGGGGAAGAACAACAAAGGGTCCATTGGCCCTGGCTGCACGCTTCTCCCTCCCAGAAAGCCCATGTTATGTTTGGGGAAATTGTGGCCCGGTCTCCACTGCTGCCAAAGATTACTAATGGCGCACTTGGTGTGAATGATAATGGGCCCGGGGAGCACAGTCCTGCCCCGGATCCCCTGCGTTATTCGCTGACACGTTTGTTTCAAGGGCTGACTCTACTCACTATTTCCTCTCTAAAGACAAAACGGACAAAGATGTTATTACTGGTGTAAATCAAACCCTCGAAGATACATGGCGAGCTAATAATACATTGGATATAGACCAAAATTCCCTCCTGGGTCACTGGGACTCCAGTGTTTCTATGGAAGCCACCCACTGCAGGCACGAGTTTTGTTTCTGTTCTCCACAGCTTCTGGATGAGTGGAGCCACACAAGAGGCATTTCTGTCTTCGCTAGAAATGACCACTGGCCGTCTACCACCCTAGAGAACATTTGGCTTCTACTTCTGCTTCTTAAGGTTGTCAGGAATATGGCAGATGCAACATTTTTTCTCCTAAGGAAATGAATTCTATTGAAAATGAGTGCTTAGCAGGGAGGGCATAGCTCAAGTGGTAGAGTGCATGCTTAGCATGCATGAGGTCCTGGGTTCAATCCCCAGTACCTCCTCCAACATAAACAAATGAATAAACCTAATTACCTCCCCCAAATAAAAAAACAAACAAACAAATGTGTGCTTTTATACTGTAGGATGGGGGAAAGGGGGGAGGGGGGAAGTGGGGAAGGGGGGAGGGGAAAAGGGAGGAGGAAGGGAGGGAGGGAGGGAATAAATGAGTGCTTGGACAACTGCTGAATAAGGACGCTGACACATGGACTGTGAATCTTAGAGACCTGCAGGCACCAGGGGAGCCCAGGGGAGCTCACACTTTCTGTTACATATTCATACAAGTGCTTCTTCAAGTGCCCACCTTTCTGCACCAGACACTCTGGGAGGAGGCATGCATAGCAGATCATCAACTCTCACTCAAGAAGCACGAGTGGGACTGGGCTGTGAGGGGCAGGCCAGCCAGCCTTCCATGGACACCACCTCCTCCATCAGAAACATGTGCATCACGCTTTGCTCAAAACTGAGTCTTCTCAGCTTCTGAAGTCATTTCCTAAAAACCTCTCATCAGGAACCCCAATTAATAAATGTATCAAAAGGAATTAAGTATTCTTCATGTCTTAGGAAAATATCCTGTTTGCCAAGCCATGGGCATCCCTGAAGAGCCCACGGAGGCTTTCATGGGCCACGATTGGTAAACCAGAGGGCTAGGTGGTTTTGATACGTGCCTTAGAGCCCCCGCTGTCCAGATGATGACAATCCAACAATGAAACATTCACTCTGCTTCTGCAGAAGTGTCCATGGTGGCACCTTTCACTGCATACCTTGCCTCTCCCATCAAATTCTGAATCCTTACCAATCTTCCAGTCCACAGTGCACGGCCCAGTGTCTGGCTTCTAATCATGCTCAACAAATAACTTGTGAATGGAGGCATCTTTACCACCAAGGTTCTTTCACACTGACTCATTCCCCCCACTAGACTCTGTGCCCTCACCACACAGCAGGGGGCCTGGCATAGAGAAACAAGGGGGTGCCCACACCTCCTCCATGCTTTCTTGTGCAGGATTCCTCTGACCTCCTGTGCCTTCTGTTTCCCAGGATTTCAGATCTACTTTACTCAGCGCTTAAAAAAAAAAAAGGGATTTGAGCAGACATGAGACATGATCTGGGTTATGTTTTAAAAGGCTCCTTCTGGCCCCTGTGTTGGGAATAGTCTATAGGGGCAAAGACAGAAGCCAGGAGACAACCAGGAGGCCACTTCAATAACCCAGCAGAGAGCCAGGCTCTGGCTGAATTCTGAATACAGAGCTCATAGGGTTTCAGGTGGAAGGGAGAGAAGTCACAAATGACTTCTAAGATTTTTGATCTGAGCAACTGAAAGCATGAGACTGCCTTTAGCCAAGATGGGAAGACAGCAGGTGAAGTAGATGGAGTGAGGCAAAAATCAGAATTTTGAGTCTGGAGATATTGTGAGACAGCTAATAAAAAATGTAAGCACCTGGATCTCCCATCACCACGCTCTGGACTTGCTGGCTCCTTTCCTCTTCCTCAGATCTGGCAGGCTCTTTCTCCTGATGTCTGCACATATGCCAGTCCCCCATCTGGAATCAGTGTCCTCCAATGGTCCCCAGTCTGGCTCCCTCGACTCCTTGAGTTCTGTGTTGTATCACCACCTAAACATACCTTCTCTGACCCTCTAAACCAACAGCAGCCCCTGCCACTCGCTCCTTGAGCACCCTGGTTGTCTACTGTCGCCCTGGTCCACCAGACTGTAAGCTTTGTTTACAAGCAACAGCATCACCTGTTTTGTTCTTCCCTCTGTCCCCTTTGCCTGTACAGCACCTGACATATAGTAGGTACTCAGGAAACATTTTCGAATGGATGGCTGATTGGCCCAAGAGCCCAAGATAGGTACCTGATCTTTTACATAATTTTCAAAAGGAGATCCTCACGCTGGATGACATATAACCCACAGCAGTAGTGGGTTACCTATCTTGTAGACATAAAAGCTGTGCTGTCTTTCCTTAAAACCCCAAGGACACAGAGGACAGGGCATATGAGAGAAGCCCACTCATATAAATGGAAGGTCTGAAAAGTGGCTAGAGCTCAGGCACACTTGTTAAAGACCTCACTTTGAAAGTCCCATCTCCGAGATTCAACACAATGCATCCTGGGGGCAGGGCAGGGGGACGGGTGGCAGGACCACTTATCAGCTACCCAGAAGGCTAAGCCACCTCTCCTGGTTTTTCCACGCCTCTTTCATGCTGATGCTGTCATTCCCTAAAACGGACAGGGAACACATCCATCAGGTTACAGGGACTACGGGCACATTCTACCATGAAGTGCAAATCATGGCTTATGAGGATGAGAAGAGCCAAATGGAAAATTCAATTAAGGTGTTTGCATTCACAGGCTGAAGGCACTAAATCAAGGGCTGACAATTCCAGATCCTCAAACAACCCACATCATTAGCGGCACCATTTAACACACTCACACTGATGTTACTTCTTGGCTCCAGAACCAGAGTCACTTTCATTTCCCCTTCCTGGTGCAGGTGGCTGAGATAGAACAGCCTCTCTCCCATCATTCTCTCCCGGGTCATCTTGCGGGCAGCGTACAGGCGGAAGCGGACGGCGCAGGCAGCCACCTCTCTGGGCTCCAGCTTGGCGAAGGTGACTTTCTCCTTGAAGATGGGGTTGGGCCCTCTCTGTATGCTTGTCCTGCCCCTCTGTCTCTTACTGGGAAGCAGCACTACGTGAACTTGCCAGGAGTTGACACCGCTTCGGTCTTTATCTGGGAGGCCATGTGCTCTTACAATGGTCACTATGAGCTTCTGGCTGGCAGCTCTGTATTCAAAGATGACATCCAGGTCACCACATTTTGAGATGGGCTCCAGGACCCCAGATGGCACCTGAAAATTGGTCGCATCCTGTCCCTGTTGCAGACAGAGCGAAAGATTAGGAATGGAATGATGCCTAGTACATTTTGGGAAAATGGTGTCCCTCTGTGCTCCTTCAGAATCCCATACTTTTGGACTTCTAGCACGTATCTCTATACATTAGAAAGGTCTGCTTTCTGGTCTCTCTCTCCACTGGCTTATGAATTCCTTGAGAGTACAATGCTAGGCATATGGTGAGCCTTCATGAATGCTTCTGGAATGAATGAACAAAGCTTTTACATCTGCAAAGTGTTCCCATACACAAAGCCTCTCAAAAAAAGCAAAACTGATCCCATCATTGAAACTGAGACAGTAAGTCTGAAAATGAGTCAATTATGCAACTGCCAAGAGGTAAATTTTCCTCGAGTCCCCAGGAGAATGGTTCAGCCTGGGCCTGGGCTCTCCGAGACAGGACCTCACACAGACAAGAATCATAATGGGGGTCACGGGCAGGCGATCCTTCAGCAGATGTTCAATCTACATGGCAGAAAAGGACAGAGCTTCTACATTTGAGTGACCTTGAATCATCTGGGAATTCTCATTCAGTAGGACTGGGGTCAGGCCTGAGATGCAGCTTTTCTCAGGCCACAAGGACGTCTCAGCTGGCCTTGCATCACTCTTGGAGTAGCTAGGGTTTAGGAGGGCCTCCCCAGCACCACTGTGCAAACAGCAACCCGGGGCTTGCAGATGGGACGCCTGGGTTGACATCATAACTCTCCCACTGACTAGCTTTCTGGCCCTGACCAAACAGGCCACCCTTTCCGTACTCTCCCTGAAAAATGAGCATGAAGGGACCTGATGGACAGAGCGTCGCTGTGAGGTCTTAACAGATGTGGGGAAATATCTGGCTCAGAGAAGACATCACAGATGTCTGTTCCCATCACTGGACTGATGCTACCTGCTTTCACACATGGTCCCTCATTATGAAATACCACTCTTAGACAGCCACTCACCTCCACAGTCAGACTGACGACCTCACTGAGAAGACCAAGCTGAACAGCATTTACTACCATGAACCACCTTCTAACAGACTATTAGCAATAGCAACGTAATTGACTTCTCTTCTGCAGGCATGACTCTTACTCATACCTAATCTTTGGTCTGATTCTTATCGTAAATCAGAATCAGTTCTTCTTTATGTAACTGAACATCAACGTTGCTAATTTAAAGAATTCTTTATTTTTGAAAACATAATCGTACACCTCAAAGGTGCATATTCATCAATGAAACTTCCCCGCAGAGCTCAAGTGAAGGATGTCCTCAGCAATTCCAGGTCTGCCCCTTACTACCTCTAGGGCCTTGGGAAGATTACTTAATCCTTCCCGCTCTCTGTTCTCCACAACAGGAAAACGGGGATGATAGCTCCTTTAGAGGGTTGTTGTGACAATTAAAGGACTCGACACATAGTAGACATCTAATAAATGCTCTCTCTTTTGAGATGCTCATTAGTCTACCAAAAAAAAATACGCTCCTTGCAAAATAAGGGAAGCATCTTACATCCTTTACTCTGAGCATGCCTTCACGTGTGAGTGTTTCTATTCAGAGGGACTTAGTTTCAAGTGATAAAAGTGGTTGCTATAGAGACTTCTGAAGACAACTGACTGGTGTAGATATAATATTAGAAGCAAGTCTCCAAGGAATTAGACGGATCAAAAATCAAGCCACAGTCTTCTGTTAAAACTCCCATCTATTTCTGCCTACCCTATATTGCTTGCTGGACCATAAGTCATAACAGCTAACACCCACTAAACACTCCCTTATGCCAGGTCCCGCACTAAACCCTTGATGGACTGTAAAAGCCCGCTCTTATGCACTTCAGGCCTTCTTGGCCTCCCCTCTTGTTCTATCTTCCCTATGGGCACAGCCTGTCTGGGCTCCGTCTGGCTTCAGCCTGGTACAACCCAATGAAGTCCTACCTCCCGCCCATGCGATGTAACTCTCAGCTCCAGCCACATGCCTCTCTGTTGATGCCAAGGCTTGCAAAGTTACACAGTCCTGCTTTGCACTCATGTATATAAACTCCAGAGTATGTGTCTGTAGGGGGGGCTTAACGCCCCACGTGGTAGACTTTTCTCCCCTGGGACAGATGTCCTGAGGCTAGCTTGCACAGCTTAGAGCATGGCTCCACAAGATCAAGCCAGGAGTCACAGAGAGCGGTGGCCCCCTGGAGGCCTTTCCTTCCCTGCCTCACTCCCCTTGACCTTCAGTCTTGTTCCCTGGGACTGCAGGTCCTAACAAAGCAGGCTCAGCTTTGGGGAAATCCAGCTACGAAACACCACCTCTTAAAATACTCATATGAACCTAATGAGTCGGATATTTCACTATTTTCATTTTATGGGGAAAGGAACTAAGGCTTAGAAAGGCTAAGTAACTCACTCCTTTGCCCCAGCGTCATATGCCCACCCAGAACTACCCAGGATTAATGTTCAAGGTCCCAAACCTTATATGGAACCATCATGTCTACCTCCTTCTCCCACAAAACCCTCACCTAGCTACTGACACACATAATAAGTGTGTGAGATGAAGAGGGAATAAGATGGGAGGTGAGAGTTGGAAACACACACTATTTTGAATTTTACATCCTTTCAAGCTCCTGCTGTTAATATTAGCTAACTGTTCTAGTTTTGTCATCAACTTCGATGCCAAGGTAAAAATACCCTAGTTAATGAACATCTCTCCACTTGTCTGTCAGGCTCTCTATTCAGATAGATGCTCTCTCCATCTGCAGGTCTGTGGTGAAGTCCTGGGGAAGGCTCTAAAACAACAGTTCTCAGAACCCTTAGCCAGACACAGCTCTAGGCAACAGCCAGGCTCTGGATGGGGACGATCTAAGGGGTCCACGAAAACTGGGCTTTGTGGCCTCTTTCTGGGTTGACTGGAGACCAAGATATGTGAAGGTAGGTATTTTCAGAGCAATTAATTATTTCAACACACTTTACCTATCACCAGGCAACTAAAGGCGTTCCTCCTGCGGGTACTGTTAATGCCGCTAATCCATCTGACCTTCCTACAAGGTAAAAATCTCTTCATTTTTATCCCCATTTGGCAGATTTTAATTAACTTCTCAAGGCCAATCAGTTAATCGGCGGAAAGGAGAGATGAAAAGTGGGACAGCTGCCTCCCTGGGTGCTCAAAACCACCGGCCACCCTCCCACTGCCTTCCTCCCATTGCCTTCCTCCCAAGCCTTGGGTCTGCAGGAAGGAGTCGATGGCCTTTTCCAGCAGAGAACAGCAGCGTTTGAAAAACTGGCATCCTAACAGGTAGTCACCCTGCAGGACCAGCTTCCCTCTGAGGCAAAAGAAATGATTCCTTTAGCTCTTGCATTCCGGGTTTTTTTTTTTTTTAAGGTGGGAATATTTGCACCACATTGTCAAAACCCATGAAGATTTAAAGATCTCTGGATCAAACGGAAAGCCATTCTGTTTTAGTAAGATAGTGTTGATGTCATCAGCATGGCCCAAAGTAAACAGACCCACTATACGTTACCGATGACAGATACGGAGGGGAAGACAGGCTTCTTAATACGGCTAAGAGGCAAGTAAATCAATTCTCAAAAGGCAAGGTAAGCCTGCAAAGCAGGCATTTACAGGAACTGCCTCCGAGGCACATTTGAGGTTCTACTGTAGGAGCACCAAATTACAGTTTTTGTCTCAAAATAGACAGGAGGTTGAATGGAGCACACAGAGATGTCTGGGTATTTCTGGAGGCTGAGAACATTTAGTGCCCTCAACACCAAGTCTTCTATTAAAGCGCCATGAGGCAGGCAGATGGGAGGTTACCTGCAGAAAGCAATTCCAAGCCTGATGGTACAGTTATCAAGGGGACAGACTGTCAATAGGTAGGTAAACAGTTCTGTTTTGTTTCTGCAGCGAGAGAGCCAAAAAGCATTGGATTTTTAAACGTTCAGTGTTATTGTGTGGGATTTGATAGGACTCTTGGCAGCAAACCAGCAGAGCAGCAGAATTTTTTTTAACAAAACATCTAAGGTTGATAGCTTTGGGTGTCTCTGCATGAAGGGTTGCTTTTATCCAGCCACAAACCACATATCTGAGTTGCCGTCCCTGGTCCTCAGCAGTAACACAACACAAAGGCACGCGTGCACCTGGGCCACCTCCTTACGCTCTCTCTACATGCCCTGATCCCTTAGCAGTCAGGCTCTGCAACACAGCTTTCTATGTGATTTTTTTTCTCTTTTCCTCAATGAGCATGCGGTGTGTGTATGACAGTCCAGGTCCTAGTAAGAGATTCATCTTGTATATTTTCTCAGTTAGACTGATGCTAACAAAATCCATTCACCCTTCTCCTTCCTCTATATGCACAAATTTAAGTTTTACATACTTATGTGACTTATTTCATCAAAGTTAATGTCAAAGTAGACATTAGATACCATTATTTAATATCTCTTAATGTTACAGAATCATAATAAGAGGGATCTGCCTAATAAAGAACAACCATAAGCCCATAAGCACCTGTAAGATAAAAACAACGTGTGTAAAATCCTTATCACGGCTCCTGGCACAGAGGAAATGCCCCTAAAATGATAGCTTCTATCATCATTACCTCCAGTCATACTTCTGGATGGTTAGCACATTCTGGACTAAGTTTCTCAATTAAAAAAGAGATTTAGAAGACTCATCTTTTATCAGGATTTACCCAAAAAGCAAAATCAATGGCCAGAGGGTCATTACAGACCCATGCCATCTCCTAGACGTTTAATTCAATTCAGAGCTGACAAGCACACTCATACTGCAAGATCTTCAGCATAATATCTTGCATAATTTCATTGGGAGGGCCATTGTATTTTCTTCTTCAAATAATTCTCATATTTAACGAATCACAGCTCAAGATTTGGTGTAAATAAAAATAGATTCCATTTAATTGAAACCATGAAGGAAATAAACCAGTCTCTCTAAAGAACTAAGAACACCTTGATGTAAAAAAAAAAAAAAAAAAAAAAAAAAGAAGCCTAATGGTTGGAGGGTTCATTCTACCACCTTTCTTCCTTTTATTTTTCCATTTTGTTAGAAGTTTATTTATGACTCCTTGATTGGTATACACAGGGGCTAGGCCTTGGTCATCTGAACAAAAATGTATTTTCATTAAAGACTCTTTAGGTATTTGTTTTCCAAAGCAATGCTTCCTTTTTGGAGAAATTTTTTTTCTTGCGAGAATGAGAAGGGGGAAGGGGAGGAAGAGGAGAGCGACTAACCAGAGAGCACACAACACTCAAGCAAGGAAAGCATGGAAAACAAACAACTTGCCTCTGGACTCCACACGGAGGAGCTGTCAGTGGCACAGGAATCTTCAAATCCTCGGTTATTACAAGCTGTCTCCGTCTCCAAGCTGCCCTCTGTGGACTGCTGACTGAGGCTACGGACCATCTCTTGGGAAGGTGAGCCATGGTGCCTGGTGTCCCCCACCTCACAGGGGGACTGTGAGTGGGCATAGATGGGAACATCTTCACCATAAGACAGATTCTCAGAATAATTCAGTTGGCTGCCTCCATCCAAACCTGGATTTGCAATAAGGAGACTCTTTCAAATGCCTGATTATGTCACATCTTTTCATCTAGAGAAATTAACAACTATACCAATCAAGTCCTCAGAAACAAAACTTACCAAATAACACCTGCAGGAATATAACTTCACCTCACCTGTATGGTCGATAAACATAAACCGTAAAAACCCATTAGTTCATCATGTAGGGTTCAAGAAAGTTTAATACTTTCTAATGATATGAGTATAAAGGATGCGTATTTATGTTAGAAGGATAAAATAAACACATGAGCGTGTGGTTGGAGTTAATGGACACAAGACTTTTGGGATGGATCTAAAAAAATAGCAAGAATGGTAACTGGCTACAGAGGTCATGTGTTCTCCTGGCTTTACCATTCTTCCTTCTCTTTCCCACGTTCACCATATTTCACCTGCTCAAAAGGCTTCAGTAGTTCTCTCAAGTAAAAAGTTCTCTACTTGATCCATGGAAAGAACACTGGACTTGGATTCAGATGATCTGGGTTTAAATACTAGCTCTGCATTAAGAACCTGAACATTTGAACTGCCTTAACCTTTGTCTCTTTATCTATAAAATGATGATAAAAGTCATCAGAGAGTCCTTGTGGACACATGAAATAACATCTGCCTGGCAACCACCACACCTTCCATAAACACTAGCCTTGCCTACCTGTCTGGCCTCATCCAACCCAGCAAGCCCCATTCACTATTACCTCCCAACTCATTGTCACCTGTGGTCCCACAGGCTCGTGAAAAATGCTAGTTGTGTATTTTTGTTCACAGTGTTCCTCACGTCTTCCCTCCTGTCCTTTCCTTCCTGACCATCCAAAGCCTCAACAACTCCTGAATCTTCCTTGACTCCTTCGGACTCCGTGTTTCTCTCAGACCTTAGTGCCATTCTATTTTCTCTCTCTCTGTACTCCCCGACTCCATTCATCCCCTTCCTCTTCATCAATGTCTGGTGATTAACCCTCAGATAGTAAGGAAAAACTGACAGTGTCTTCCTAAGCAACAGTTTGCACCCTAAGTTGCCTCCCAGATCCAGAAAGTAGCCAAGGACATCTCATCCCTTGGGCCTCCACTCTTCTCCAGTAGCCCTCATCCCAAAATGATAGAAAATTAGAGATATAGAAAGGATGAGTGAGGATGGCAAAGTACGTACCATAAATTCAGCACTTATTTCCCACCATTGGTCTTAAAATCTGAGTTAGAACGTAAGGTCCCTGAAGGCCCTAATCCACATCCATATACTGCACAATCTTTATCCATCAGTGGGTTTCACTAAATCTCAAATAACTTTCAGGGCTACACAGATAAATATTTGAAACAGCCAGGTGTGCAGCAACATGGAGTGATGGTGACAGTGGTTTGCCACACAATATATGACCCACCTATATATAATAAACACACAAACTTAAAAAAATATAATCACCCAATGCAGACCATATAAAAACATCTTCGAGAAGACGGTTTTCAGGGAACAACTGCAGACTTCTGGTTTGGGATTTTGCAAAACCATAGTAAGCCACTGAGCAGTTCCCCATCTGCCTTGTTATTCTTAATAATCCATTTCGGGGCCCTTGGAAACTCTCTCAAAGGACGCCATGAAAATCTTTACATTCATACTATGTTATTTGGCAAACACACTAAAAAAAGGCCACAGAAAATGACAGAACAAGGGATATTCCATATGCAAAACCCTACGACGTAGAGCAGAATTTTCTTCCCAGGCTCTAATTAGCACATCCACTCCTCACATACATGAACACGAAATGTCCTATTAAACAGCAGGTCATCCATCAACGTGTGTAGCAGCCAGCAGGATCGCAGCACAAAATCTAACTGTGCCAAGAAATTACCCCCATAAAATTGTCTCATGACTTCAACTCCTATGGTGATGATACTTAGATCAGTAATAAGGGAATTTTCAAAGGCTACATTAAAGCCTTGAAAAGCTATTCATAATTGAAAAACATAAGAACTATATTAATGTAACAAACCATTTTCCTTGACAGGCAAGCAAGGAATGAATTAGAAAGGCAGATCTGGGTACAAGTCAAGGAACAAGGAGGGGGAGGGGAGGAAAGGTGACTCACCGTTACATAAAGCAGTCTGCCTGTGCCTTAAATTACAGAAGATCATGTCACCTTAAATACACACGGAGAAGTAATTGCCTGTTGTCGAGAAGTGTACCCTGGCTTCTTAGAAATTATAGGTCATAATTATGTCACATCAACCATATTTATTCTAGCAGGGCAATTCTGGAATTTTTTTAGTCCATATCCCACTTTGATGGAGTGTAACTGTATCATCTAATGACGTTCTTTACTACACCCAAACCTCTCCCTCCACCACCCACACACAAATACCTCCGCTTACTATCTGTGATGGTCAGTTTTCTGTGTCAACTTTGCTACAGGCCTCAATTATTCAATCAAACACTAAGTTAGGTGCTGCTGTGAAGGCATTTCTATAGGTATAATGAAAGCCCTTAAGCAGTTGACATTCAGTAAAGGGAATTATCCCACATAATCAGTCCATTGGAAGGCCTCAAGTGAACTGAGGCATCTCTGGGGGAGAAGAAATTTCATCTATAGACAGCAGCTTCAGTGCATACCTGAGAGTTTCAGCCTATCCCTTCCAATGGTCAGGCCGATGGATTTAAGAGCTGGGTATGCCAGTTGTCTGCTCAGCCCCGACAACCACATAAGCCAGTTCTTTGCAATAAATCTCTTGAAATATATATATCAAGTTGTGGTATATTTATATATTGGAACACTACTCAGCCATAAAAAATAAAATAATGCCATTTGCAACAACATGGATGGACCTGGAGATCATTATTCTAAGTGAAGTAAACCAGAAAGAGAAAGAAAAACATCGTATGATACCACTCGTATGTGAAATATAAAAAATAAAAAGTAAAATAAAATTTAAAAAGACACAAATGAACTTATTTACAAAACAGAAACAGACGTAGAAAATAAACTTATGGTTACCAGTGGGGGAAAGGGAGAGGAAAGGGCTAAATTGGAGTTTGGATTTGCAGGTACTAACTACTGTATATAAAACAGATAAACAACAAGTTTATACTGTATAGCACAGGGCACTACATTCAATAACTTGTAGTAACCTATAACGAAAAGAATATGAAAAGGAATATATATATATATATATGTATATGTATGACTGAAACATTATGCTGTACACCAGAAATTGACACAACATTGTAAACTGACTAAATTAGAATAAATAAAAAAAGAGAAAAGAAAACAACGTCTATCTGTCACCCTGAAATCCCCTTGACACCTATGAAATCTTAATTGATGCACCATCCCAAACAAAGCTGAGCACAAACTCTGGGGATAACTGACCTGTTTTAAATGATACCAGGAAGAACATGACTAGCTTTTTTTTTTTTTTAAAACACCCGAAAAACTAAATATTCCACCAGCAAAAATAAGGCTTTGCTCAAAAACAAACGAACAAAAAGCCCCAATAAGCGGACTATTATTCTGCAGCCCACCTTTCATCTCACAGAGCTGATGGGCAGCCTCTGAATCCAGATCACTCAGTCCAAACCCTCTGGCATTATCAGGAATACAGGGACAATTAATGCACAACACTAAATCTGATACATGACATGAGAGAACTTGTCTGGAATATGAACATAGTTTTACTTGGACTGGGAACTTGAATTTCACTGGTCCAACATTTTGGATGCATTTTTAAGTGGAAGAATTGTTTACAATTAAATTTGATCTTAGAAAACCATGTTTAAGGGTAAAAAAGAGCTAAATAGAGACTAGGCAAAAACAAAAAATCCTCTCTGGGGTCCGTGCTTAATCTTTTCATTATCTTTACTGCTGAAACAAATACACTGATCTAAAGATGAACGAAAAGAAATGACACTGAAAAAAAATCATACAATAAATTTATATTAACATTTCCATGGCATTTGATAACTTAAAATTTAGCATGCCGTTAATCATTCCTATGAATATCCTGATTTTCTTCAACATCTATAGTTCATTCCGTGTAGTGGATTTTTCCTTCCCTCCAGTGGAGAGAAGTTGACCCTTCCTATCTCCATCTGTCAAAAAAAATTCAGAATCACACTGGTTATGACAAAAGTTGTTGCTAATTCCAGCAAGGCTAAGGGTTAGAGCATTTGTCAGAAGTATCAGGACACTGACCGTCCATATAAATCAGAAACTAGACACTTGAGCTTCTGGGAAATGGGGCCATTAGCTTAAGAATTAAACAAGCTACTTACAGGGGATCAACTGCTATTAACCTTCATTAGCTACCATTTGCTGGGAGGTAACAGCAGAGAGAGGAAGGCAGGAGTGCGGGTGAGGAGATGCTGAGGGTCATTAGCTACTGAGACTACACTTTGGTTACATCTGCATCAGGCGTTTATCTCTTGGTTACCTTGGGTTAAAAAAAGGAAGAGCAATAAAACGCTATGTTGGCCCATCTCAGTAAGTAGAAGTACATGATGGGTGGTAAATTATTATAGTCCTGCTGAAAAATAGGGTTCTTTTCACTAATTCTCCCCCTTTGTTCTTTCTCTGCTTGTCTCATCCACATCACCAAATCAGGCATTCCTTTGCTACCCTCTACCATTCTGAGCTCTCCTGTTTGTCTTTTACTGCTCAGAGTTGAAAAATAAGGAAGATCAACCATGCTCCCATTACTGGACTGACCATGGATGCAAAGGAAAGCAGGAAAAGATTAGAGAACCCAGGTCATTTAGACCAGGTCACTGGAGTGGGCAGCACGACATTTTCTCTGGCTTTTTACTAAATACACTCCACAGACCCTTCCCTGTTCCAATGTGCTGTGCCTATTCAGAGTTATGGGCAGAAAGGAGTCAGAGAGATGCCTGACCTTCACTGGGGAAAACACGAAGACATATTGTACTGTTCTTTTTCCAGGTTCTTTTGTGCACACAGTGGGGAGGGAGAAGGACTCTTAACAAGACCGACCTGTCGTCACAAGCTGTGCTGACCCTACCCCCGAGTGTCTTCCTCCCCCTGTGTGAAGCGGAAACTTAGTACAAGGATGGAGGACGGCATGAGACCTGCTCTCGCCCAGGAATTCTCACGCGGGCGGGGTCCGGAAACTACAGGGAATGAGGGAGAGTGTGCAGGGCATGCGTTGTTTGTAAAAGATGATTCAATACTATTATGATTCATATTTTTATTTGGAAGATAAAGTATACCTATTGTTTTAATAATGCAAAATATTATAAGAAAGGTGTCAAAAATCTCCTGAGGTTACATAGATCTGCAGGAAATTGAATCTAGGTTTCCAAATGGGAGGAAAGGCACAATGGCAGCAGACCAGGTATGTAAAATTTTGGCACTTGTCAGAAGGGAGCAAGATTTTATAAAGCTTGATAAATACCATTCTAGTCATCAGTGTTCAAACGTACAAAGCAGCAGCCTACAATGGAGGAGGGGGTCTCACCAATCAGGCTCAAGACTTTGGCACTCCTGATCTGTTCCCTCTGCATGAGGCTCCCAGGGAGGTTTGAAGCAGCCCTTTTGCCCTGTCCCAGCCTCTGGATCCTGTCTCTCTCTCTCTCTTTTTTCTTTTTCTTTTTTCATCTCTAGACTCAGATGCAAGTGCAGTGACTCCAAAACATTCCTACCGTCAGCCATCCCTGGTCTAGATAAAGGAAGGGTTTGATGCAAAGAGTACCTTCACAGGTGGACACTTCCGCGTGGTCCTCTTTGTGGGTAGGGAGCCAGTGGCTGGGTTTTCGTTTCTGCTCCAATCTTGTCTGCTTTCCTTTCTCAGATGCTCCTGAGCGGAAACTCCGGGACCGGGACACAGAAATTTCAAACTGTTTGATCACCTCCTCATCGCTGTCAGAAGATGTGGACAGCTCCTCATCATCTCCAAAGCTGTTAACTGGAAGCAAACAAGAGTCATGAGTCTCCTATGGGGCCCACAAGAAAACAGACAGAGATAATCTGGAGAAATAGGAGCACATGGGCAATTAGTCTGGATCAAAGGAGGCCGAAGCTAGGTAGAAAGAATTTAAAGCACTTTTGAAGGGGGTGGGAAGGGATAAATTGGGAGTTTGAGATTTGCAGATACTAAATAATATATATAAAATAGATAAACAACCAGTTTCTACTGTATAGCAGTGGGAACTATATTCAGTATCATGCAGTAACATGGTGAAAAGAACATGAAAACGAATATGTGTATGTTCACGTATGACTAAAGTATGCTGTACACCAGAAAGTGACACAACACTGTAAACTGACTATACTTCAATTATATATATATATAAATAAAATAAAACACTTTTGAAACATAAACTTGAGTCCAAAGAAATGAGACAGGAAAAGAAAGCTCATGAGGGTCATTAGAAATACACAGCTAGAACCCAGGGGAAGCCGCTGGGACACCCCCCCCCCCCGCATAATGAGCCCCCTTGTTGAGCTGGGCAGCCACTGACTTGTTAGGTTGCTGCCACGTGTTCATGACTGGGAACAGGACAGGGATCTGTGCACGTCCCTTACGTGCAGCTCCGGTCAGTGATGACGGAGAAGGTGTTCTCTGCCTCATCTCGGTTAGTAAAACACACAGAGCCTAGCCCCACCACAGACCCACTGCAGAGAAATTAGCAACTGAGATCTTCCAAAAGCTTCCTAGTTTTGAAAAGAGATACCACATTGTATGTGTGTTTAAAAAATAAATAAATAAATAACTAGTTTATATCAGAAGTGTCTTTCTCAGCATCAATGACCCACCCAAACACCCTCTGAATTATTCGTACCACTTCCCTGCCACATCCTGCCCCCAGCACAACGGCTGGTCCTCTTTCAGTTTCTTCAGCTGGCCCTGGTCATCCCTGCCTGCGTATGCATTGGTCCTTCGGCCTGAAACCCTCCCTCCCCCAGGTATTTACACCTGGCTGGCTCCTCTCACCTCTCAGGTCTTGGCTTGACTGTCAAACACTTCCTGGATGGGCCTACTTTAAGCAGTCCTGTTCACTGTACTCTCCTTCTTTCTTCTCCCCCATAACTTCCATGGAAATAAAGACATCACCTGTTTGTTAACTGATGTCTCTACATTATGTATAACAATGCCTGCTACATAGTAAGTACTGAATAAACACTTGTGAAACATTGAACAAATTGGTGAACACCCAGGGTTTCCTCCCCAGTCTGAGTGCCACCCCTCACACTCACACATGGGTCCCTGTGCCTGGCCTGCTCTACTTCAAGGTTCTAATCGCTATGTTGGAGAACTGGGGAGAGGTGGGAGAAGGAACTCTTATTGTGTATACTCACATCAGCAAACTGAGTCTATGTGGCCAAGTTCCTTAACCTCTCTGACCCTGTTTCTTCATTTGTGGACCATTTCTGATGTCTGGATAATTTCCCAGGTCTTTTCTAGATTTAAATTCTCTGACTCCAAACTTTCTACTTGACAGGCATTAACATTCAGTGTTTCTATTAGGGAGCAGCTGGCCCAAGAACATAAGAGCGCATCATTTTCAGGTCACTCAGTTCTGGTGCTGGCTGTGACCAGCATCATGGTAGGGTCGGGAAAGCTAAGTGTCAGAAGCGACTCTACTACTGACCCAACAGAACATCATTACAAGGGACAGTCTCCCCATGTCTCAGTGGGCTGGGCACAGCACTCTGGGGTGAGATGGACCATCACACACGGAGGAGATCCAGAGACCAACAGGACCAAAATTAAACTCCCTCCACCTTTAGAGTATAGGACCAGCTAAGCACCTGGGAGGTGGTCAGGGGGACAGATACACTGCAGAGGTGGCTGGGTTAGATAGCCTCTGGCACTTTTTCCAACTCTGCGATTCCATTCCACTTGTATTACTAGGCCAGTTTTTTAAAATTTAAATAGTCATAAATCATCAGTTTCAAATTAAGTGAGTCACTCCATGGCTATTTCCTCAAAGCATAAAATCAATAATTAGAATTCATTAGTTTACCTGTCCTGGTTTTTTTTTTTTTTTTGCCAGTCAGTGGTCATATACCGAACACAGATTCTCCTCACTCAATATCATAACTGTAACAGCAATTATAATGTTTCCCATTTACTAAACATGTACTCTAGGCCAGGCACGGTCCTAGGGCTTTGCATGTATGATCTCATTGAATCATCACAGCAACACCATGAAGTAGGATTGTTATCATTTCCATCTTGGAAATGGGAAACAGAGGCACAGAAGTTAAGCAACTTGCCCCAGGTAGTACATTGAGCAAAGTAACAAAACTGGGACTTGAACATAGAACCTATGTTCTTAGTCTCTGTGCATATCATCTGACATCACTGCATCAGGACACCAGAGCCACACAGAGCTGACTTTTCAGAGTAGGGTAAGAGGGGGCTCTGCCACCTCCTCCCTGAAACTGCCAGGAGGCTGCCTCCTTTGTGAGAACAGAATAGCAATGGGAAGAAGAGACCACGCGGGAGGGGACGCGCCCAGGCTGCAGTCTAACTGGCCCATTGCTCCTCGTGGGATTATAAATACAGCTGCACATGCTATTCTAAGCCTCACTCCCCAAAGGTCTCAGGGAATTCTCTGTCTCAAAAGGAAACCTATCATCCCCCCTAAAAACCGCTGGGTAGCAACAGGCGTCAACAGTGGTGCCGTCACAGTAATGAAAGCAACCCCACACACAGCACTTACTGTGCGCCAGACACCGCCAGACAACTCTGCATATGCCAACTTACTTACTCCTCACAGCAACCCCATGAAATCGGTGCTTCGTTATGCCTGTTCTGTGGGTGGGAAAACGGAGGCACCGTGAGGTAATTTGCCACAGTCATACAGGTAATAAACAGTGGAACCAAGACTCAAAGCTAGGTGGTCTTGCTCCAGAGTGAGTGTTACTAGTGACCACATGATGCTCCCTCTACCACCTGCTGCTTCAGGAGAAAAAAAAAATCCTAATCAAAATCTACACAACTGTCTTTGATCACCAGGAAGACTAAATCACATAGGCTGGGATAGAAAGGGTCTTCACGAGCATCTATCTCTTCCCTCGTTTTCACAGAGACCAAAGCCCAAGCAGGCAAAGTGATTTGCCCATGGTTATACCAAGCCAGGACCAAACACAGGTCTCCAGGCTTCCAGGCCGATGGTTTTGCCACCTCATTTTCCAAGTTCTCTCACCAATGGGTTATTTTCTCAAATTCAGATTTTGACTCTCTTTGAGAGATCCAAGAGGCTACTTGCCATAGAATGAGTCTGTGTCAACAACTAAACAGATGATCTGGATTTCACGCAACTTAAGTCTTTGAAAATCACGAAGTCTCAGCTAAGTTGTGGCACTTATTTCAGAGATAAAATAGTACCTTCTGAAACAATATATAAATACCAAGTTCAAACCCCTTTCAACCTGAGTACCCGGGAGAGAGCGCAGAGGGGCTTTGTATGGAAATCTTCACCTCTTTACCCAATTTACTCGCTTCAACAACAGAGGAAAAGTTGTGCAGGAGGACGTGGATACATTTCCCTCAATCCCAGGATGCAAGGAGGGCTCAGATAGCATGTCAGCAGCTACCACAGAAGAGAAGTCAGACTCTACTTTCAGACGCAAGGCCGCCCAGCTCCACCCCTCTGTTCGCACGGTGCTGAGGCACGCCTGTGGGCTTCTCGCATGGGCAGCAAGTTCATGGCTCTGACGGACAGAGGGGGCTCTCTGTTCACCCACCAGTATCAAGTCTCTACAGGAGCACAGTCAGAATGTCCCTCCCTCTGATTTTTAGTGAAATTTTTTTTTTTTATTTTTAGGAAGGAGGAGCAGAGGAAATGCCATCTTCATCTTCCACAATTAAGAGACAGGAAGAGGGGGCTCCAGGAACACAGAAACTGCCTGTCAGGTGTAACATCAGTCAAGGCAAGGGTCCATAAGAGTGCAGAGTCTGGAGTCAAGCTGCCTCAGTTTGATTCTGGGATCTTCCATTTGCTGGTTTGAGCCCTAAGCAAGTTCCTTAATCTTTCTGAACTTCAGTGTCCTTATTTTGATATCCCTTACTTCTTCAATTTGTTGAGAGGACTAAATAAGATAAACCATCTACAGGCACTTAGCATATGTCTGGCATATGATATGCTAAAAAAATGTTAACTATTTTTATTATTATTATGCCCCATGGGGCAGTGCTCTGTGTGGAAACCCTTCTGGGAAGCCTTGCATTTACACACAAAGGGAAAAATGCGCCTGTTCTTGCAGGGTCTGACCTGAAAGGGCATCATCAGAGCTGGTGTAGGGGGAGGGTGAAAGAAACAAGGGCTGGGAGAGGAGAAAACTACGCTGATGACGTGGGCTGTATCACCCTACTTCCCTCACTGTGCTTTTTCCAAGCTTGGGGTGGCGCGCTCTGGAAGAGTGAGCAGTGCTGTCTGGATGTAGGCAGTGCTCCACACCTGCTCATTTTGTTTCTTTTAAGGCCACAAAACTACCAACTGGTGATGCAAAGAGAGGATTTCTTAAGTCTGTCTACTGCTATCTTACAGATGGAGAAAGAATTTATAAATGATCGGTGCAGCTCCAAGCTTATTAATTCCTTCCCGCCCACACAGGAGCAATTAGGTGGAGGAAAGTACTGCTCAGATCTTATAGATGGGAAGTGGAGACAAATGGGGGTGGGTCGTGCTCGGTGGTGCAGTACCTGGGTGCTACTTTCAGCTACAACTGCAGGAATCCCTAATACACCAGATTTCTCAAATACCCACAGCAAATGTCTATCCATGGTGTCTGGATGAGGACAGAAATAAGAATAGGAAGTTGATTAAAGTGAAAAAGCAGAAGGGAGGTCAAAGGTGACAACTGTCCCTTTCAGATCCTAAAAAAAAAAGGCCACATTTTAGATGCACAATCCAGCCATTCTTGGACCTAGACAGGCTAGGAAGATTTTTATAA